ACAAAATAACCCGAGCCATGAAGCCTCTATGACCTGGGAGGAAATCCCTTCTTGGCCCCTGAACGGGTCAGCTGTCAGGATTCTAGAGAGGTCACTGGGTTCACCTGTTGCAGCGAAATTAAACAGGAGTCCACCAACACCTTCAAGACTAACCAGATTTATTCCAGCGTGAGTTTTTGCGAGTCAGAGCTCTCTTCATCAGATGCACAAAAGCTTGTGCTGGAATCGATGCTGTTAGTCGCAAAGGTGCTACCAGACTCCTGTTTAAGGCTGAACATAAACAGAATCATGGGCCGTGAGAGCCAGGCTACACAGGAAGATATGGATATATTACAGCTCTCGGAACCGCTTTGGATCCAGAGGCAGATGACGGTGTATCGAAAAATGACTTACCAAGGAGGAAAGCAAGCCTCTTCACGAGGAGGCTGTTTTTAAGTGGGGGAGCCTTCAATCAAGCAAACTTTTCCCCGCCCCAGTCTGCAACCACTTAGGGACAGAGAAAATATGGGAGAAAGGAGTACCCACATATGCTGCAGTAAGCTGCTAGGAGAAAGGGAGGGATAAACAGTGATCAGCTGAAGTGAGGGTTGCCAGGCAGTGCCTGTCAACTGGTGGGAGGGTTGTGGGCAGGGATATTGGAGAGCTGTGATGCCAGCTGCAGTGCCACGCCACTTCAAAAATACCCAACCAAACAACAACAGAAAAGACCTAGGTAACTCTAGGAATTTGCCATAGAGTTCCAGGAACTCTATGGCAGATTCCTAGAGTTACCTATGTCTTTTTCCGGCATTGTACAGGGGGTTGGACTAGATGACCCTGGAGGTACCTTCTAACTCAATGATTCTGTGATTACCCCCACTGCACAACTGAGCACTGGCAGGGATGGGGGAATATAGGAGGAAGATTACCCTCTGATAGCAGGCAAATGGCAAACATAGCTTTAAATCTCCCCCAATAATACTTCTAGTAATACAACCAATTTTTATGTTTTCTCCTACAACAGCATCAGTTATGCACCTACTATATTCCAACTGTGACTCACTAGGGAAGCAGCCATGGCTTAGCGGCAGAACATGTGCTTTGCTTGTAGAAGATCCACGGTTTGATTCCTGGCATCTCCAGTTAAAAGCATTACATAGGAGCAGTGGGAAGGAGCTCTATCTGAGATCCTGGAAAGCTGCTGCCAGTCAGCTGACCTTGATAAACCAATGGTCTGACTCAGTATTAGGCAGCTTCATATGTTCAAGAGTTGACTCTTGTTTTTTTCCAATGGCCTCTATTTCAGGGGTGTCAAACATGTGGCCCAGGGGCCGGATCAGGCCTCCGGAGGGCTTCTATCACGCCTGCAGTGGAACTGGCCGTCTCCTGCTTCCAGTTCTGCTGCTGCATCATAGCTTGCTTTGCCAGACTCTCTCAGTTGCTCAGCCATTTCATTTTTTGACCTGGGTCCTAGACTCAGAACTCTGAGCATGAGATTTCCTTGGTGAATGTCAATAAATCAAAAGTAGGTCTGCAGCTTACAGAGCTAATGTTTTAAGCATGTTTTTTATTTTAAATCAAAATCTTTGTGTTTGTGTCCTTTATAAAGTTTATATCTCCACTACCTGGCATTACATTTTATGACACACATGGCCCGGCCCAACAAAGTCTCATTTATGTCAGATCTGGCCCTCATAACAAATGAGTTCGACACCCCTGCTCTATCTGAAAGACTGTTGAATGGTATATTCAAGTGGAGGGGGGGGTATGGGTGAGAGAGCATGGTGCAGAACATGTTGGTCTTTCTGCTTAGTGATCTCTTGTGCATGCTTAAGAAAGGGCATCCTGGAAAGTCTTCCATCTAAGTAAACAGGTAGCCTTGGCAGTCATGTTATGGAAAATCCAGAGCACTGCAACTAATAGGGGTGCAGCCATTACAGGCAGAGAAGGTAGATAAAATAATGGCCACTGCTGCTTTCATTGGTTATTGTTTCTCATTTGTCTGCCTTTTCTCTCTAGTAGGCAGCTGCAGCTGCTTCTAGCAACCATCACTACTCACTTGGGCAAGTAAATGGTGATGGCTGCATGCAGCAGCCTCTGCTGCCTATCCTCTAAGAGGAAACGTTGAGGAAAGAAAAAATCACTGTCTCTATTGGTGGAGGTGGTGTGCAAACTGGGCAGGAGGGCTGAACAAGCTCAATCCTTCCCAGGAGGACCAGTGCTACGACTGCCATCACCCAGAGAGAGAGAGATAAAGAGACAGAGACAAAGAGAGACAGAGCAGACTGCTCTGCTGCTACTTACTTCCCAAGACTATGGCCCTCAGCAGTGGTCCAATGATGCTGTCTCCTGACACTGGACCACATATTGATTCCCAGATGTCCTCTTAATATCTGATCTTCTGCAGCGGGGCTATTGAACACAGAAGGAAGTTCGATCATTAAATGGAGTATCTTGTATCATTAAAATTTGTATCTATATGTGTTGTTGGTCTCCGGGGTGGAGCTGTGAGTCAGTGGAGGAACATTTACTTTGCATGCAGAAGGTCCAGGTTGAGTCCCCAACAAAAGGACAAGGTGAAAGGTGATTTGAACAACCTCAACCTGACAATACTGCCTTTGGTAAACCAATGGTCTGATTCACTATAAGGCAGCTTCATGTACCTGTGTGAATTCTGCCAGATAACCCTCTCCCAAGGCACTTGGAATGAGATCACAAAATGCTGAGACGAGTAAAAGTGCAAATCCCATGCAAGAACTGTAACATTACTTCATTAGCTGCAAGATCTCGAGAAGCGTCTGGAGGGTCGCTGCTATGTCTGATGCTTACCCAATGCTTCAAATCTCTTAGCCAGATTTGGACACTCGCAGTAGTTATCTATCCTTTATCCAGGGCTATTTTTGGGCAGGAACGCACAGGAACGGAGTTCCGGCTGGCTCCTGAGTTGGCCACGCCCAGCAGGAACTCATTAGCATAATAGGCCACACCCAACAGCAGAAACTCATTAGGATTGCTACAGTAGGGGTGTATGGCCTAACATGCAAAGGAGTTCCTGCTACAAAAAAAGCCCAGGGTTTTGACAACAAAGTAAACAGAATAAGAAGCAAAAGGTGGGTGTAGCTGGATGACCACACTTCCGGTAACATGGGGGTGTGGCCTAATATGCTAATGAGCTGTGCTATCAGGGGTGTGGCCTAATATGCTAATGAGTTCCTGCTGTTGGGTGTGGCCTGTTACGCTAATGAGTTCCTGCTGGGCTTTTTCTACAAAAAAAGCCCTGCCTTTATCTATCATGAGGCATCGACAGATCCCTTCGGATCACAAAAGTCCAGTAGAACATCCCTTTTGCAACCACACTTTGAAAAAAAATACCTTTGGGGATGCATGATGCAGCAAGCCAGATTTCAAAAACACACCCTTGTGGAGGCCATTTACATCAATTACATTTTTTGCTATTTATTCTGGAACAACTTGAGATGTTGCACTTAGTTTAGGGGATGACTATTCCAGGCACTGGACAGCACTGGAAGCTGAAGTGGCTTACAACACCATTCTCCACTCCAGCATTTCATTCATACAACAATACCCTGTGAGGTATGTTAGGATGGATGAGAGGGTGAGGTCCAAGATCTCCCAGACAGCTTCAGTGGCAGAGTGAGGATTCAAAACTGGGTCTTCCAGATGTTAGTTCTACACAAACCAGGTCTTTGGATCTCCTAGGTTCTCACACACCTATGTCCTCCAATAGATACTGTTTAGATGTGACATAGCCACAGATGTTTGAAGGTAACTCTGAGCAGGGGAATTTTGGGGACAAAGTGACAATGTACCCCACCAAGCAGAGCATCTTGGCATCCTGCTTCTGCTTGATGAATTAGCACATTTGAGCTAGTTACTGACAATACCCTTTTGCAGTGAATCCAGGGTACGGAGGATTCCAGTGACACTGGCATTAGCCTATGGGCTAATTCCTTCCGAATTATAACAGTCAGAGTGGATCTCTGTTAACACAGATTGCAAGAATGAAGGTGTACTATTTACATGTTTCCATTTGTGTCTCAGGAAGTCTGTGTGCACACAAAAGCTCACACCTTGAACAAAACTTTGTTGGTCTTAAAGGTGCCGCTGGACTCAAACTTTATTTGCATGTTTGTTTGACTGGAAACCTTGAATGTTTTGAAGCCAAGCATGGAGAAACTTCTTTCCTTCAGATGTTATTCCTTTGGTGGTTGACTTGCCCACCTGCAGAACAAGACTCCAGCCATGCCACATGCTACAGAAATCCTTGCACTGGTCCCTCACCTTGGCAGGGAGTGACCTGCCCTTCATCTCCACGAGGGAACTGGAGACACCATAATTCGTCCCGAAATGTCTTCATTTCTCTACCGCCCAAAGGACCCCAATCAGAAGGGCAATGTCCAATGCCAGAATCTTTTAAGAGTGTATTGCCACAATTGTTTTACCCTTGTGAATTTGCTGGAGCAGAACCCTCCTGCAGCTCCAGCAAGATTGTGATGACAATGTCAGGATCACCAGGATATTCTTGATTTCAGTGTGTTCTCAAGGAGACTCCTCCGAGAGATCAGATTTCAGCTTAGGTCACCTGGGGTGTCACCACTCCCAAAATGCTAGACAAAGGAGGTAGGCTGGTAAGGAGTTAAGGGTGGATAAGACACTAAGAAAGATGGCTGGGCACGGTAGATCCAGGCGTGGCTTCTCAGTTCTGTTCACATCTGCCCGGCAACCTGGGCAATTGGCCACCACCAGATAGACAGGAAGGTGAAGACGTGTGCCAAGATCTGCTGAACTTGTTGGTCAACATTCTAGTTTAATACCCATCCCAGCTTCTTCAGGCAGGTATATAAGCGAGATGACTCCCTCATCACCGGTTATCTGTCAACGGCTCCCAATCACTTTTGTGTCCTATTTCTGGAAAGCTACTGGCTCCTTTTGGTTATTTGGTTTCTTCCGGTGTCAGCAAGGCCCACCATGGTGGAGCAGCAAGTGGTCCAACAGCAAGGCCTTGTGGCCACCAGGCAAGCCCATCTGTTGATGCTTCTGCTGGCGCTGATGGGTAAGGAATTCTGCCATTTTGTCCTTTTGTGGTTGCTAATTCTTTTGGGGGTGCAAACCTAACAAGCTTTAGGACAGGAAGGGCAGGACTGCTGGGGTTTGTTCCTAGTCCTGGGAGAGAAGGTGTATGAAGCAGGGTGGTGTATTTGCCATGGTCAGGAGCTACAAATCAGATCTACAAGGATGGTAGAAAATGGAGGTATAGGATTCTGCAAATCTATTTCTACCATAGCTTCTTTTGTTCTTCTTAAGAATCCCTTTTAGACCTGCTGTCTTTTAAAAATTCTTTTCAATAGATAAGAGTTGCAAAGGATCAGACCAAAGATCTACCTAGGCCCCGGTCACACGGGGGAAATTGACGCGGCCAAAGTGCGGCTTTTTAGAGTCGCACCAAAAGAGACACATGGCGGCGGGATCAGACAGATCCCCTGAGTCGCCGCACAGTTGCTCCCCGGCACGATCAGATGCCAGGGGGAAGCCACGAAAGGGAGAGCAAGGCAGCCAGCTGCGCATGTGTGTGCATGTGCAGTTCGGCCGGGAGCCTCGAATGCTCCTGAAGACGGGCGCGCCGGCGATCCCACGGCCGCGCTTGCTGCGGTGTTTCAGGTAGGTGCTACTATTTCCTAGGGTTTTTTTTAATGCGCGTTTTCGGCCTGAAGGGACAGATCGGGGATGGGTGCGCACTGCTTCCCAGATGTTGTGGTGTGATTGCGCCCGTTTGCTGCACCCCTGATCAGTCCCTCTTCCGGGCCAAAACCTCCCGTGTGACCGGGGCCTTTGTTCAGCATCCTGCTTCACACAGTAGTCAATCAGACACCCCAGAAGGCCCACAAGAGGGCCACAGAGGCCCTGTGTTTGTTCCCTAACAACTGGTAGAGATATATACTGCCTCTAAACATGGAGGTTCCATTTAGCCATCATGGCTAATAGTTGTTGCTGGATATATCCTCCAATGATTTGAAGTTATATAACTGAATGGCCATAACTGTTTCTACTGGCAGTGAGTTCCTCTAATTAATTATGCATTATGTGGAGAAGGACTTTCTAGCCTTGGATCCCCAAATTACCGAAGAATGGCCTATCAGTAGGGGCATTTTTGGCATGATATATGGCATTATATCCCCTTGAGGTCCCTCCCCTCCACAAATGAACACAACCTTCACAAGTGAGAAAGCAGAGCCTTCAGTAATGTATAATGAGGGGAAGAGGATGAAGATGTGTCCTTCAGTATGGGAGTGTGATGCTCCTGTTTTCATTTGTGAAATGATAGAGAGGGCATGTGATAATCCTGTGCTCAGGTTTCTATTTTTCTGGTGGAAAACTTTGCTACTTCAGAGATCGTTTGCTGCACCCTTATTTTACAAATATGTCTACTGTCTTCCTTTGCAGGTGTTTCCCCTTCATTACTTATTCATTTAGGGAATCTGTAATCCTGCTTTTCAGAACCCGCTTTAGATGACTCGTAACTGAAATAATGAAAACCAAACAAGCCAAGAGAAACGTTTTTTTTAAAAAAGCCACATAATAGTTTCCTATGGCCCAGCAGCAGAACTCATTTTTCAGTCTTCTGATGGAGAACCGCTGTTTGCTTCTTCAGATGTAAAGACACAGCTGTGTTTCCTCTTAAGTAATGGTTGCTTTCAGGCTATGCCACATTGTTGTCTCAGAGAGAGCCTGGGAACCAGCAAGGCTTGAAATAGCATTGCTGCTCTGAGGTACTGTCTTTGAGTTAATTCTGAGTATTAAAGTAATGTGTGCCTTTGTACTTCCTGATTCTGTTTTTAATAGACAGGTGAGACCCTCCCCCCTAGAGAAATTTTGCTAGCAAGAGGCCTGGCAACCTTCTAGTTTCCCCTCAAATTTCTCTTAAAGTAAAATGAGGTGGCATTCTTATTTTTTTATCTTGTAATTCTGACAGAGGTTTCAGGGATGTCATGTCAGGATGGCTCTGGGGGCAGTGTCCCTTCTTTAGCGTTTTAGCCCACCTGTAATTGTTCCGCAGGATCATCTTATTAAAAAACGTAAAACAAAGTAACCATCATAACTTGTTCATAAAATATCCTGGGTGTGATCCAGCTAGTTTTCCCCACTGCTGAAAAGGGGAAGTGGGTGCCCTTGTAACGATACACTGGGGACCATGTGAGCTGAAGGGACAAAAACCAGGTGGGGTCAGGCTGTAGCAAGATGAAGAATTGGCTAAAGTTAAATGAGAAAGCTGTCCAAATCCCAGCCTCTGCTTTCGTTGTTGTTGTTGTAATTTTCATCTTGAACATACTCAGGAACAAGCCTTTGAACCTTGTTGGGAAGGTTCTCCTACAACAAATAGTGAAACGTCTCTCTCCTTCCTGCAATATTTGATATGGCATACGCATGACTATCCTCCAAGTTTGGCTTGCATTTCACTTTAGAAGAAATTTGGTGGCAACTTAAAGTAGGGATGCCTACTGTAGCTTGAGAAATTCCTTGAGACTTGGGATTAGTGCCTGGGCTGAGGGAAACAGGAAGTGATGTCATGTCACTTAAGGAATTGCTGGAAATTCAACGGTAAGAGTTTCTGGTGATTCCTTCAGCGACATGATGTCAGTTCTGTTCCCCCTCCACAGAAGTGACATCGCACCAAGTGCAACCCCTGCAGTTTAATTTTGTTTTTTTTAACTCCTGCTGCCTAAAGGAGCGGTGTCAGGAAGAGAAGGCTGGCAGCTGTAGGCTGTGCAGTAGAATTGCTGGAAATTCAACGGTAAAACCATAGAGTTTCTGGTGATTCCTTGAGTGACATGATGTTAGTTCTGTTCCCCTTCCACAGAAGTGGCATCACATCATGTGCAACTCCTGCAGTTTAATTTCGTTTTTTTACTCCTGCTGCCTGAAGGAGCAGTGTCAGGAAGAGAAGGCTGGCCGCTGTAGGCAAGGCTTTCTGTTTTCCCTTAAATTTCACTTTAAGTAAAAAGAGGCTGAGAACTCTACTGTGTGTGTAGTATGAGTTGCTTTTGTGTCTTTAAAATGCAATGCTTACAGCTCTAAGGCTGTCAGGTTGCTTTTTCTTCTTCCAAATATCCTGGAGGTGGTTTTTGATTTAGGCATTTTGACAGCTGGGATTAAGGTTGTTGTAAGACTTCAGCTGATCTGCTCTTGCACTCTGTTTTGATTTATTACTACATTCATATCCTGCCTTTCTTCTATTATGGAAAAGGTGGAGAAGAACAAGTTCCCAGGAAGACTGCCAACCGGGCCCCCTCTGACCAGACCTTATTGCAGCTCAGCTTCAGGAAGAATGCTGTATGATGATGTGTGCAGGGAACAGGCTCCGATGTCATTCATTTTTAGCCTATTTGATGTATAGAAAATAATATCTAATTGTGGTTTAAGCAGGAAGAGAGCAGTGGAGGCATTTGTAGCGTCAATGAGCATTCTCACAAATGTAGTTTTCATATTTATATTGTGAAGCTGATTGAACCATGTTACTTCTCCTGCAACCAAATGTCCACATTGGGTTTTTTTGCCTCTTTTATTCACAAGTGTGAATGAAACCATACCAGAAGCGCAGAATCTTTGCAATCAATGTTGCTAGCGTAGCTTATTATTGTTGGCAGAGTGTAGATATGCAGTAAAGTGGAACGCAAGCTAAAGAATAAAGTTGATTTATTAAGAAGAGAACACACTTTGTAAGAAAGAGGAGAGAAAAAGACAATTCTAACTGTCTAACTAGCTAGGAGGGGAGTCCATAGCTAACTAGTTGTCCCATGTGCTGCCCCCTGCAGGATGTTCTTGTCATTTTATTTATCTATGCACAATAGTCCTTGCATATTCCAACAATTATTATTCTTTTTAAAAGAAAAATCCCATCACAGCCATGAGCAATGGGAATTGAGTTTGTGTTTGAAAATGTATTTTGTATTCCTGCGGTGTCACCTCCGTTCCCAATTCCCCACTTCAAGAGACATTGATATTTTATTGATGGCTAACTGAAACCTCCATGTCCAGGTGCAGTGTACCTCTGAATGCCAGTTTCTGGCATACAACAGAGAAATGAGCTATTGACTTCATGCCTTGGTTGGGAGCTGCTGGAGGTTATCTAGTTGATGACTGCAGGCAAACATGCAGACTTGCCCAGTGCAGTGCTAACACAAGCAGCACTTCTGAACACGATTGTCGAGTCTCAAGACTGACCATGAGAATCTGCTGCATGGGTAGTGGGGTGGCCAGCTTTTCAAGTGTCCTGTAGCAGTCTGGCCTGCTGCAGTTAGCAGGCCATCCTGTTGAGCTCCTCACTTTATTGTTTGTGTGCCAAACCCTCTGCTACAGGGACAGGAATTGAACAGACCATCAAGCAACTCAAATGCTTGGAAAGGGAAAGTTTTTCTGTACTTAAGAGTGGGTGTTGCTTCAACCAGGGCTGGTCTGCTATTTCATCTTTTGGACTCTGGTCTCCTTCATTCCCTGGCCTATCATGTGCTGATTGTTCAACTCATTAGAACATAAGAAGAGCCCCTCTGAATCAGACCAAGAGTCCATCTAGTCCAGCATCCTGTCTCACACAGATGCCTATAGCAAGTCCCACAAGCAGGGCATGAAGGTGACAGCTCTCTCCCATATCTTCAGAGGTACACTTCCTCTGAACATGGAAGTTCCCTTAAAATCCACGCATGAGTTTGTCTAATCTACTTTTAAAGCCATTGAGGCTAGTGGCCATTGCTGCATCTCATAGTAATAAAATTCCATGGGCTGGATCTAGCCAGATTTTTCACTTCATACGGCCGAATTCTCCTTTTTAACCCCTATCCTACACAGATTTTGTCCACACAGGTCCAGCACAGCTTTTTTGGGTAGTTGTTTTTCTCTAACAGAAAGCTGGTTCGCTCTAGCCTCATGTGTGTTATGAAGAAATACTGCCTTTTGTTTGTCCTGAATCTACAATCAATTACATTGGGTGATGTAATATTAGGGGACAGGGAGTCCATACAACAGGGGTTCCCAATGTGGTGCCTATAGGCATCATGGTGC